GATTATAGATCAGCAGTACCGGCTTGTGTGATGTCATGCAAAATGTAGATACATTTCAGAATATGAAAAGAAAAACTAATCCCTCAATTAAAAAAGAAATTAGATTCTGTTTGTGTCTGTTCAACTTGAATGGATACACTTATGTTCTATTGTGCTGGAAGTCACTCTGAATACTCTGAGTGTTGCTTTCCACAGACCCACTCTTTGACTCATCGGCGGGCGGTGCCGGGGAGGGGGAAGCATTTTGACTCCCTGCTGGCTGAGCACAAGGGGCGGGCCAAGGAGAAGGCGGGGAGACACCTCAGGGAGCAGCAGGGAGGCCACGCCCACCCCAGCCGCCCCGCCCAGTCACATGACCCGACCCACAGCGCGCCCACGGAGAGCCTCGACAACAGGACCGCCTCTGCCCTGAAAAGCAGGCTAGCCAGTGCAAACATACCCAGGTAGGACTGGACCATCACTAAATCAGCGCGGCCATCATACTACCACAGCTTTTGTCTGCAATAAAATGGTTGCAGAAAGAAGACCGTCTGTGATTTGCTAATGTATACCCACTAGACAGAGAGAGCTGTGTCATTCCCCAAACGGCTGCCGCAGTTCTCTCTCATAACTTTCTGCTGATCTGAAAACAGTCAAAGACAAACGGAGATCTGATGATTGGAGATCAAAACACTGATGAATACCTGTCGAAATCCAGTGCTGAACCAAAGCTTCTGTCCTCTGTGTGTGTGTGTGTGTGTGTGTGTGTGTGTTTGTGCGTGTGTGTGTGTGTGTTTGTGTGTGTGTGTGTGTGTTGTGCGTGTGCGTGTGTGTGTGTGTGTGTGTGCGTGCAGGACTCCCGGTGGTTGGGGCAGTGTGTCTCTGAGCGCCGGCGGCCCTCCCCCTGACCCCGCGGCCCCCTGTCCCGCAGCGGAGGGGGGTGAGCGGCTGTCCAGCGAGGAGGGCGAGGCGGAGGTCCTGGAGGATTCGGACTGGCCCTACACCCCCCACCACCCGCGGCCGCTGGGAGTACGTCCCGCCCTCACACCAACACACTATTCCCTGCACCAAGGAGTGACGCTCTCTAACGCACATCTCACTCTCTCCCTCTATCCCGCTTTCTCTCTCGTTCTCTTTCTCTCCTTTTCCTCCACAATTCTTTTGTTTTCTCCCTCTGTCCCTCTTCCTCTTTCTCTATCCCTGTCTTTCTTACACTGTTTCTCTCTCCCTCTCTTTCTGTGTCTCTCCCCCTCTCTCCCACTCTGTCACTCCCCCTCTCTTTATCTCTCTGTATAACTCTCTCCCACTGTTTCTCTCTCCCTCTCATTCTCTGTCTCCATTTCTCTCCCACTCTTGTCTCTCCCTCTCCCTCTTTCTCTCTCTCTCTGCCTCTCTCCCACTCTTGTCTCTCCCTCTCTCTCTCTCTCCCTCTGTCTCCTCTCTCTCTCTCTCCCTCTCCCCCTGTCTCTGCTGCTGTGTCTCTCCTGGCAGTGCTGCTCCTTTGGCAGTCGTCTGATGGGGAGGGGTTACTACGTGTTTGACCGACGGTGGGACCGGATGAGGCAAGCGCTGCACTGCATGGTGGAGAAGCATGTGAACGCTCTGATGTGGAGGTAAGTGTGACCGTCCTCGACCGCGGGCGTGACAGCATGACCGCAGGAAGGAGAGTCCAACCGCAGGAACGAGAGTATGGCTGCAGGAATGAGAGCATGACCACAAGTGTGAGAGTATGACCACAAGTGTGAGAGTATGACTGTAGGAATAAGAGTATGAGCTCAGGAATGAGAGCTTGACCACAGGAATAACAGAATGACCACAGCAGTGAGGTTATGACCGCAGGATTGAGAGTATGACCACGGCAGTGAGATTATGACCACGGGAATGAGAGTTTGACTGCAGGAACGAGGGTGGTCCTATCAGTTTGTTCATGGTCAGTTTCCCATGTATCGCATCTCAGCAAGTAGTAAATCTGGATGTGCAGTGTTTGTGTAGGGAATAGAGAGATGCCTTTGCTCTGAATGGCACAGATATGGACGTGTCATTTCCTGTGTGTTGCAGGAAGATCCCCCTGGCAGCCGAGAGCCCCACTCCTTCCCCAGGGACTTACCCCGGCCTGCACCCCCTCCACCCCCCCAGCTCAGCGTCCCTGCCCCCTTCCCCCATCACCCCTCCTCTCCTGCCCTCACCCGCCCTCCTCACCCCCTCCGACAGCGTCTCCATGGTGACCTACTCGGCAGCCTTTCCGCATGGCGGGGGAGGAGGGGGCGTGTTCAGCATTGTGGACTCCGCCTCCCTCCTGCCCCCTGTCCCCGCCCTGGTCCCAGTGTCATCACCGGGGAAACACCCCAGAACTAAATCCAACAAGCCCCCGAAGGCGTGCGATCCGGCCTCACGGGGGTTGGGCGGAGCTATGGGCGGGGCAGTGGGCGGGGCAGTGGGAGCTGCAGCGGGGAAGAAGAGGAAGTCGCCGCTCTCCTGTGTCTCCTCCTACGCGGGGTCCCACAAAGTGAACTGCCACAGTGCCACGCCTGCCCCCGGCTCGAACCCACCCGGCCCCGCCTTCAGCAGCAACGGTACCTCCCCGCTCTGTGCCAAAACCGAGCCCTCCGGGCAGGGCATGCCCCAGCCCCTCCCCGGAGACCACGCCCTCTTCGCCCACAGCCCCCTCCCCTTCGTCCGGGAGGACGGGAGGAAACGCAAGAGCTCCGCCCCTAACGGCACACCCAGTAAGCTGGCCAGAGCGAGCGGGCTCAACAGCGTCTACAGGAAGAGCGGCGGCACCGAGTCCCCCCACCCTGCCCTCCCCCGACAGGTAAGAGCACCACCTCACCCCACACCATCACAACCATCCATCAGCCATCCACCCAAGCTGAATGAGCAACAGTGTCAGACCAGGCTAACAACACTCCCAGACCAGTGAGTGTGAGCATAACACTATTCAAGCCCTACTTGTGCAAACTGAGTAGACAGAGGAAGCCAAGTATACTACCATACATCAGTTACTAGATCGCAGAAGGATCACTAAGGAATGGTCACACAGCTGGTCACAGAGTGTATTTGAGAGAAGCATGAAAATAGATGCAGAGGGAGTGAATGGTAATGCATTGGCATTTGTGTAGAGATAGGAGAGTGGAGCTCTCTTTCAAGCAATCATATTGAAAGGGACTGATGGCATTCCGGGGTTGTCGATGCCTCATCCTCTCAGGACTCTAGTGTGTGTGTGTGTGTGTGTGTGTGTGTGTGTGTGTGTGTGTGTGTGTGTGTGTGTGTGTGTGGGCAGAGCTTGGAGGGTTGCGATAAAGCAGATAGCAATATCAGTGATTTAAGTGTAAGGGTTGATATGTGTGCATGTGTGTGTGTCACTCTGTTTAAGAGTAGGCATGTCTGTACTCAGTGCTCTGTCTCTCTCTAATCCAGTCAAAGGTGCAGCACTGAGGGTGTGGGTGTGACGGCGACCCCAGATGCAGTGTGGACTGTGACGTCGTTTCACCGTGACGCTGCTTACGACGCGGCCGCGCTCTGTGACCGTGCGCTTTGAGCGTCCTCTCGCACGTGCGGTGCGGCTTTTCGGAGTTCCTCCCCGGAGCCCGTGACAGTGACGTCAACCCTGGAGGGTCCCCTGTCTGAGGCCTGGTTTGTTGGGCATGGCAGGCTGGGTGATCTTATGTTTCCACTGTCGCTGCTCTTGCTACAACCTTCAGCGTCTTCATGGGAAAACGTCCTGCACGCAGCGTCTGGGGAGAAATGGGCCCCCTGGACTTTAGAAGACTGAACAAACTGCTGGAAAATCTCATTGACAAAGGAAATGGCCTCTCGTTTTTCCTGTTCCTTACATCAGCATTTGATGTGCATGCATTTCATTCATGTTTTTTTCCGATGTTCACTGATGATCTGACCCTGTCTTTGTTTTCTATGGAAGTATATACTGGAGCTCACGTCTCGTTTCCTGCGAGGAAACAGGGGAATTACTGTGTTTCTGTGGGGGGGTTTGAAGGTGGACCTGCACACACACACACACACACACACACACACACACACACGCAACCCCCCTCCCCTCAGGCCTAATGATCTGACGCAGCAACGCCCCCCACAGATCAGTGTTAAAAGTGCACTTACTCTAAGGTCTCCTCTTACCTGGACTGGAATGACCCTCAGAGCACAACCAGGAACTTTGAACCAAGGGAATCTACTTAACTGGCGCCGCAAGCTGGGATTTTAATTTAAAGAGAAGCTGTCAGGTTTTTCAAGGATGTCTGCTTTGAATAACGCCAGGCATATAAAGTCAAGACTTGCACCCCAAATGTACAATTTTATAGCGTCAGTTTTGTACAATTATTTAATACCTTTCTAACTGACCAGAATAGTGATACAGATGTTATATCAGAATTATATTTGTATTTCCTTTTTTAAAAGTTGAATATATTATTGTGTTCCTATTGTTGATAAAAAAAAAATGTACAAATTTTTATAATTTTTATATTTATTGTTATTTTCTCAGAATTGAAAGCATTTATGGATTTTTTAATCCTCCCCGGTCACATGGAAATGATGAAATTATGACATCATCCTGCGATGTCGAGCTCCGTGAGGGGCACGGCATTGTTTTGCCCATTGCTTCTTATTTTTGTATTGTGTTCTAATTGTCGGAAATTCTGAAATGGTTTTCCAGGCAGCGAGCTCACTGTACCCCCCTCTCTCCTCCTCTCTCCTCCTCTGCCTGTGGGCTCCTCCTGGACGCCTCTCGCTGCACCAGCAGCCGGTGAGGGGAGAACGAGGCCGCATAGCGTGGGTGGAGCTAGCGTGCTGTGAGTGACTGGCTGACGCGAGAGCCAATCGCCTGTGGTCTGTCACGGAGACAAAAGTGTTTTGATTGGTTCGTACGAGTCAGGGGTTGACAGTAGCCCCACCCAGCGTGTGGTTCAGCTCACTGTTCCTGTGAGGCAGTTAGTTATTCATTTAGCAGACGCTTTTATCCAAAGCAACTTACAGTACATTGGAGGTATACATTTCGTTATCATGTGTGTTCTCTGGGGATCGAACCCACAATCTTGGCGTAGCTAGTGCGATGCTCTACCAATTGAGCCATAGGCTTGCAGATGCTTGTCTTGTGTATTGTTTCCCAGTCTCCATGCAAAGGCTCAGACGTTTTAGCAGTGCCATCGAGATGCACAGAAGACACGCGGGGCTGTTCTTTAAATAACGAACAGGAAACATTACCCTCAATTATAATTTCTTTCAGCACCTAAACACATAGCTAATGTGTAGATAACTCATCAGAGATGCACTTTTTTTCTACATCAGGAACTTAGTTTTATATATTAGCATTAATATATGTATGAACATTTTTCTTTTTCCCCAGTCGTTTCAGTGTAATGAGCCCTCAAACAGATCTGTCCCTTTATCATGTTAACAGAGATCGCCTGACAGTGGACAAATGTGCACAACAAACAAAAACCTAAAAAAAAATGCCTTCCTGGTACTGAGAACCAGCTCCTGTCATACAGACATCAGCCACTGATGTGCAACTAAAAAAATGTCCTGTTCAAACTGCGATCTGTTTGATCAGGGGAATTCAGGGATTTTTCTAGTAAAAAAAAAACTGACAGAGTTGTTGAGCAGCAGGTGGCCTCCGGACTGCCCTGGCTTTCACCGTGTGCTTGTGTCCCTGCTGTGTAATCACCCAGAGCTCTTTCATTGCTGCCGCATAGCTTGTCCAGTTCTGACCTTTTCCCTGCCTGGGTACCAGCTCCAACCTGAAAGAAGGGATTATCCACTGTGATGCTGAGGAAGGGACCCATGTCACCGTACGACACTTGTCATGTCGTGACCACAGGACGCCTGTATTTCCCGTTCCCTCTCCTGCAGCCGGTGACAGGGGTACATTTATGCCATGGGTACTGTTACACTTTATGTGTTGCTGTCACTAAGAATCCACTGATGTCCTGAAAACTATTCAGGTGAATGTTACTTGATTGTATGTATGGCAGTCCCAGATTTTTTTTTTTGAGTAAACTCCCCAGTTTTGTTTCTGTGAGGTCCCAGATGAGTCGACTTAAACTCATGGTCTGAACAGTTCTCTGGTTGGAGTCTCTGGGCTGGTTGGAGTATGAGGAAGTCTTAAAAGGATATAGGATCTCCTGCCCAAGTCACACCCTGACAGACCCATGAGACCAGAGTCATGTGACTATGTTTGATGGCATGCCATACTTTTGTATCCACTGTACATCTGGCCAAATTTCAAAAAGTGTTCAGTTACAATTATCTTGTATTGATGATCCCATTGTAGGGTAGTAGAAATTAAAAAAGAAAAATCTCTTTACAATTTAGAAATTATTGACTGTCGCCCTGTTAACCCATGTTAACCCATTTGTAACCAGGCGAAAAAAGTCATTTTCAAGTTTGATTTTTGGATTGTGACTGCTACCCAGCTAATTGTACCCACCATATTGATCTCTCCTATTTTAAATTTCAGAGCCTTTGAGATCTTTTTCTGCTTTCAGTAATTTAACGCATGAGCAAATCCCATTGGTTTTTCAGGACATGAATGCTATACTGTAGTCATTTCCCCTCTCCATCGATGTGGGGTGTACAGTGGTTACACTACAGAAACACCCTATCTGGGCTGTGCCCCAAAACCATTCGATTATGCAGCCTTGCTGCCAACTGATCCTGGATCAGTAAGGGAGGGAGCACCATGGCACTTAGGGCTGATCTGAGATCAGCAGGGACCAGAGTGGAGAAGGAGAATGTTGGTAATTATCAGGGATTATTGGTTAGGAGGAAATCAGGGATGAGAGGAAGTGGAAGCAGGTAGAGGAGGCAGTTGGAGAGACGTTGCCGTGAATTGCCATCTTATACTGGCAACCTTCTCTGAAAGATGAGGGGGCTCTTTTTGTTTTGTGTTCGACTTTGTAAATAAAATAATTTATATGTTTGTAAAAAAAAATCCAAGTCCATTCTCATTACTCAAGGAAGACTGTGGCTGTACTAATTATTTGTGATGGATTTTTTTATGTCCCACTTAAACTGCTAAAATTTCATGTTGTTCATTCATATAGATGGATATTTACTTCCACAGTTCAGGTTCCTTGTATTGCATGGTAGGTCAGCAGTGTCCCAACTAGGATTAAAGCCAGTGTAAGAAATGCTACTTGTGAGATACCTCCAAGTTCAGACAGGTTCCAATCAAGTGTGGTTTATTGAAGAGAGTAAAAGGTGATCACAATGGGCAGGTACACTGTGTACCACAAGGTGAAGCAAATACCAAGAAATGCTAGAGTGCGTGTCTTAAAATAATTCAGAGGATCCGCCACCTACAGTTCAAGAACCAGGAGGCTGATAAACCTCATCACTCTGCTAACACCACAACAGTGATGATTGTTAACGCATGGACCATATGGTTGCCTGTAGACATGTAAATGACCTTCCTCAAAACAACAGGCTCCACTGTCTGTAAACCAGACTAACAAGAACCCTTACAGAGATTTAGCAAGTTGTATGAGCTATACTTCTAACACCAGGAGCCCTTGTCATATAACTGAAATGCACAGACTTGCCCTCACATTTTATTGTCCGATTAAACACAAGTCCTTCACCACACAAGTTATTCTGCAAATATAAGGACACAGTGGAGTTGTGTTCACAGGGAATTGGCTTCGACACAGTTCTTTCCACTCCGGCACGTCATACACCATTTTCTATACGGTCAGGCATAATTCGCTAAATTTATCGCCCGAGAAACAAGAAAGGACAGAGCGACAAAGTGAGTGAGGTAGTGTATTGAAGTGAATTCACCGTGAATCTAGAAAGGTACTTCAACATCACTTATGGTTTGGTGTTCTGGTGACGGAATAATGCTAGTGTTTAGCTAATGGTGTTAACATGCACCCATTTTGGGGGGCAGACCACTTTATATACTGTACAATATATGCATCGACATTTGTACAATATCGTAGTAAAATTATTGATTGAAAGTTATTGATATGAGAAAATAGCTTCTACACATTCTAATGTCTTATTTAAAAGTAAATAAAATAAATGGCCATCTGAAATGACAAAAATTATGATTCTACCACACTGCTGCTCATTATTTACAATGGGCAAATATTTACTACACGTTTTTGCGCATGTGCTGGAGTGCAGTATCATAGCAACCGATGTAAACAGCCCCAGACCTGGTAAAAATGGCGACGCCACGGGAGAAAGAAGCTGCCGCCTATCTCGAAAAACATAAAATTCCTGAGCTTATGGATAATTTAACTAGTTTGCTCTTTTTCCATAGACCAGGTAAGCCGTTACTTTCGATTTACTTCAAACAGTTTTTATTATAGCCAATAGGAAAAATCTCAGTGGGTGCACCCGTTTTTGCATGTCAGAACAACGGTGACGCTTTTGACTAACCATCATGTCACATTTAGTTAGTTAACCCTAGAAGCATTCTCGATCTATTATTGCCTTAATATTTTGTATAAGAACGTGTGGCAAATATCGTAGGCTACCATATTATAATATCCTCGGTCCGTGACCGTGGAATGTTTTAGTCTATAGAGTGGCTGGATCGTTTCTGTGCCTGTGGCTTTCACATGTCTATGGGTATTCGTTAACGTGTCACTAACCGTCCGTATGTTAGATCTAGGTAACCAGCTAACGTTTTTAGCTACAAAAGTTAGTCTGCGTTGCGTACATGATCTGTCCACTGCTACCTTGCAGAAAATCCACGTGAGTTTCTGATCACGCAGCTTGAGCTGCTGAGAGCGTCCAAACTGCAACAAGTGGACTGTCCCTGTCTTTTCAACGAATCCAATTTAGACGCCGTTTTTGGGATACTGGATCCAGTTAATCAAGGATACATCAGTCTGGCTCAGTACAAGGAGGGTAAGTGTTAGAATCCATTAAGTTGGCTAGCGAGATAGATAAAGATGGATATTAGTTAGCTCACCTTACCGACGTGAGCACTCTCGGAACATTCACGTGTCCCCTCCGCAGCACTGATCACTTTGGGAATCAAGGATTTCGATGAGTGTCCCGAAGGTGCAGAGTCTAACCGTATATCTAGGGACACGTTTAAGAAGCATGCGTGAGTACTGAATTACGTTGTATAATTCACAAGCTATGCATTGACATAATCTGTACCATACAGAAGGAGCATCTTTCAGAGGTTAGAAAAGAAAAAGAACAGAAGCATTGTTGTGCTTGTGTAATCCAAGTGCTGGCTTCTGAATTGCAGTTTGATATGGAATTGTGTTAGACCTCTTCAGTTTGTGTCGGATACGAGATACTCGAGAATAATATAATGACAGGAACAGAAACATAGAGGATGATTTGTCAGAAATTAATAAAAACTTGGCACAATCTGTCTGACCTCAATGGAGAAGTTGTTTTGTTGAAGAAAAATACTGTCTTTTTTTTACAGGAAGGACGGGTTGCTGAAGAGCTCAGCAACATTTAAATGTACTTAATTGCAATTTTTGTACGTTTGTACAAATCAGTTGTGTCATGTGCGAAACTGTTTCTTTTGAAAGAATAAATATGTGAGATCCTCCCTGTGAATTGTTTTTTTTTTACATAACATTATTGCCATTTGGCAGACGCTTTTATCCAGAGCGACTTACACTGCTCATCCAATAAAATGGCATGAAACGTTGCACGAACAGGACACCACTATCTGTGAAGGTAAATATGTTGCAAAATGCGAGAGCTTGTAGACTTGATTTTGAGAACTTGTAGAATACGATGTGAGAACTTGCAGAACAACAATCTGAACTCGTACGTTTAAATTTTCACTTGCAGAAAAATGTGAACTTGTATGTTGAAATTCACAAATGTGTAGGCTAGTGTTGCTGTCACAGTGGGGCTTCGGTCAGGACACAGCTAGGAGTCAGGTTCCGGGGTTCAGATTTTATTGAGGATTTCGTGGAGTAGGAGTGGAATGTGTGGATGTGTTTGTGTGGTTTCTCAGCCACAGACGCACACAACAACACAATAGGCTACTCGGTCCCCAAGGGCTTGGTCTCCCCAGTTCTTCACTCCACAGGTATTGGTGCGGTACTGAGGTGGGGGAGCTCACCACTACCTTTATATTGTCCCGTAT